TCTATCTATCTATCTATCTATCTATCTATCTATCTATCTATCTATCTGTTTCATATATTTTAGAAAAGTGAAGATGATGAAGTAAATTCAACATGCAGTTTGCTTTGTGCTTAAAAACTATCTCCTCCAGTCCACATCTATAATGAGAATATGTAAATGAAAAATAAAAATGCTTTGATTTTATTCAAATTCAAGCCAATCCCCTTCGTTCAAAATAGTCCCGCTTCATGAGAATATTTATTACTTTTCAATGAACTGGTGGTTTTGTAGTCAGAGAACATAAACCAGAGAATAAATTCTATTTGGTTTAAATGCGAGAGACATATTTTTTTCCAAAGCCTTTCTGTCCTTCAGTCTTCATGCCAAGATGATGGGGTTTTCTGAAACGGCTTTAAGGACAGAGTAAAGTGGCAGAAAATAAATCACCCTAATTTTTTCCATGTGTTTATTAGTTGTGGAGTCATAAAGATTTTCAGATGAAGTCAAGGTTTCATGAAGGTGGTGGTGACTGCTGCTGTGAGCCTGGAACTGCCAGTCATGAATCTAGATTTATTAATTCAGGGACAAATATCTAAGTGATGAAAGTGACATAGAAGTGCAGTGCATCTATTTTCCCTTGTGACCTGTGGGGTTTGGTGTTTGACTGAGACAACTTCTATGTGGAAGTTTGCATTTTTAAAAACTGACCCATTTATCAAGTGGTTCTGTCATTATATCCGATGACTTGTTGTCAGTGTAATAATGGCTTGCATTCTTCTGAGTCCATTCCTTCATTCTTTTGAGTTCACAGTCTCTGAACCGGTGTGAGCATCAGCTACCAGCAAAAACTAATTTAACAGAATATATTTATTCGTACTTGTGCATGGCTCTGAGGTTTTTCTCATTTCCATCATCTTCTAAAGTAGTCCAACAAATTTAGAACATCAAACATAAAACCAACTATGATTATAACTCCAGTCCAGTCCAACAAGAAATAGCAATTGATACTTTTCTCGTACAACAATATGTCATAAAGTTGTAATCCATGGGGAAAAAAACATGACTTGGCATTGCATCAGTGAACTGCTGGTCGGGCAGCCTTCACATGGGATCACAGTGAAAGATGGCAAATTTAAAAGACAGATGCTTCACTAAATCATCTACTCAGTACTTTACAAAGTCTCCAAATTTAACTTAATCTAATTTAAGTTTATACCTTGTTTTTTGAGGTCTTTTTCTAATAAAAAAGACCAGTTATTGGCTCTTGTAAATTTATCTGTTACAATAAATCTATAACAATAAATGCATGATAAAAATCCTCTGACCTATGCTCCTCGGCCTCTGCTCAGTGTAGGGTTTCAATATGTTATTGGGAGTCTGAACATGATGTTTATTTGTGTAATAGTCATGATTCTGTATGCTGTTCCAGTGACTGACTTCCTGCCAGGTTTATCTGCTCTGTGCAGCTTGAACTGTCTTCTATCAAAATTGGACTAGGTGTGTATTTTTAGCTTGAAGACACTCCTGGAATATTTTGAAATGGGGTGTAGGATGTCAGACAGAATTGCAAGGTCTGTCATGAGTGGTCGGAATCAGCATGTCAGCCTTCCCCAGTTAGCTCCCTGTGCTAGCCCTGTTCTCATCTCCAATGTCTATTAAGCTCCTAAATAAATCAGAATTTGTCTTTCGGTATTTCAGTATCTATTAATTTGCTGTATGGTACATGTGATGAGTATCTGTATTGTTTTCCAGATGAGTGCAACCCTTCCAATAAGGTTCTGTGTAATTAATAGATATGGCTATTACCATACAATTGTCAGAAACTAAAATGTATTTCCAGCTCTTATGCTCAGGATGTAGCTGCTTACGTGAGCTTACTTCCACGAAAGCAATTACTTATCTAATTTTGAGAAACTCATCTAAAGTTCAATGTAATCTTCCTGACAAATTCAAATTAGCCTTAAATGTCACGTTGAAAAGGCCTGTGATTAGAACTGATACAAAGCAAATATTTCTCGTAAAAAGTTGAGAAATAAGTTTGAGGTGACTGCATGTCTGTCAGGGCTGTGGGAGGGAAAATAAATAAATGGGAGGACAGCAGGAAGCCATAGAGGACGAAATGAAAAGTGAACAAAATGTGGAGGAGTTTGGCTCAGTGCTTTGTATGGACATTTATTGCTGGTGCCCTCCACCTTTAAGTCATGCAGTGACACTCTAAACTCCCTCTCTCATTTCACCCATCACTGGATTTTCTTTGTGTGTGATGTGTGATGCATTTGCCAGACTCCCTTCTTCTCAATTTCAAACTGCTGCACCTATGTGGAAAAGCTATGTTCTCCTGCTGCACAGTCTTACTTCTGTCTGCAGGGCAACATCACAGCAACACCTTTCTTTGAGCATTTTTTCTGTTTTTTTAAGAGAAACCTTATCTATGGAAACTGCTTGACAATCCTCAAAAAATAAATAAATTCATGTGAAAATGCAATTTCTTCATAAGTGACCACTAATGATATAAAAAAAACTTTTGGCGTTTACTTTTATGTTTCTGATCAGGTTTGCTTTTCTGAAATTATAGTTGATTACACTGGTATGCACAGTAAATTATTTTTTGCCTTTATATTTAATTATTTATTTGATATTAAGTGTAGAACTTTTGTAATACATTGGGGAATTACTTTCCAAGTAGACTGTAACAATGTGTTTTATGTAGCAGAGCAAACATGATATGAATTAGACTGACCCTTATTGTAGAGCAAAGTCACTTGTTTCATCAGTATGTTTTATGGAGTGTGACTTTTTCGCAAGCTGTCTTTATCAGTTTACTCTGATTATTTGTGGCGGTGACACAGTCATTCAGGAAAATATGCAGATATCTGAAGTCCCACACAACATCCATCATTTCTGCTTGAACATAAATAGTGCTGACTTACTTTTATTCCTTATAAAATCCACAATCACCTCCTCTGTCTTCACACTTATTGTAAGAGGACATTTGCCACATCATGTTTTCTGTACTTATCTTCCTGTCCACTCACTGCACAGCTGCAGTCATCTGCATAGTTCTGCAGCTGACAAGACTCCAGTGTGTTAGAGGGATGATGTGATTACCATCCTCTGCAGTGCTCTAGTGCTCATGACCCGTTGCTAAGACAAAGTAGCTCAGATGCACAAACTATAGTCTGTTTTTCAGGTACTTAAACATCCCGGAGGCTGGGATAACAGCTCCTTCCACAACAGAACACTTTGAAATGTGTTAAACAGGAGAAATATAAAAAGACCACGATCCTCAGAGTGTTGCCTCCTTTGTCCAGATTCAAATAGATGAAGATAGATGGAATAGAGATGGTACAGAGATGGTACAGAGATGGTCAAATAGATGAAAGCATATTCAACTTGAACGCGAGAGTAGTCAAAAAACGAGTCCTGAAAGCTTTAATTGCTTTCCCAAGGAAACCAACAACAATTTTTTTCCCTGAAAGAAAGAAATGCAAAACTAGCACATTTATCTACTGCCTACAGTAGTATTAAGTTCAAAGGTTTAAAGATGCAGCTAATTGTGAAATAACAGAAGCTTATTAACTCCAGACTTTAATTGACTTTTCGGGACATGTGATTTTGTTCAGCAAGTGTCATTAGTATTCAAACGACAGCTCTAGAGCTCTATCACAGGTGGTCAGGGGGGAGTGGGACCCAAGAGCTGACTTGAATGAGACAGGGGTTGAAGGAAAACAAAACTGATTATTTTTTTCAACTCAACTAAAGGTGCCAGCAAAGACCAACTGGAATCCCAAAGAACACAAGAAGAATATACAAACCAACAAACAAAAACAAAAACTTCTATCCTCTGAAGAACTGATAAACTGACCTGAAAATGAAACCTCGACTGAGTAAAGATACAAAAAAGCAACCTCTCTTATAGATAATTTATTGGCCCTCCAAAAAAAAGAGGTAATCTAGATTCAAAGATTCAAATACCCTGTTTTTGTAAATTCAATCAAAGCTATCTGAGTTATCTGAGTTTTGATCTTATGTTATCTATTGTTTTCCTCAGTTGTCATTTCTTCTAATTGCAGCTCACCTGTTGTTAATCAGTCACAGCTGTAGTCCATCTTGTATTTAAGCTCCTTGTGTTTTTTTCTGTGTACTTGTTAGATGCTTGCCGTTATCACCACAAATCCCCTACTGGTTTTTCTGGGTTATTTACTGCTCAGATTTTTAAGTTGCTTAGTTTGTTGCTTTCAGATTGCTGCTTTCCACATTTAGGTCTTCAAAATCATTCACCCTGGATTTCTACACACTGAAAATCTCTCTTAACATATATATCTCTACACTTAGCATGCAACAATTTTCCCAAACCAGTAGAATGAAACATTTTCAAGATGAATAATTTTACATCTTAATTCTCATTACCAATGCATGCCCTAACTTTTTCTAATTTATTTGTTGGCATATTGAGGGTTAGACCTCGTAGATTCCAGGTGACGTTTTAATTGCTACTGTGCTGCAGTGCAGCTTTGATCCTGGCCATTTGATTTCCTAATTAGGTCGGCATCTCAGGAACCAACATATTAAAATAGTTGGCACAGAATAAAGTACGGAGGACTGGTTTGAATAAGTCAGGTAATCATGCGTCAAATAATATTTTTTCTTAGAATTTCTGGGCTGTTTTGTGCGTCCATAACAGAAATATAAAGGAATGGACAGAAAGAACTAAAATTTGTCACATTGTTTGTGGTAAATTAATCCCAGAGACTTTGTTATTTTATTATTTTTTTTTGGTACTCCGTCATTCCTTAAGTTGATATTATTTATTTCTTTGTTCCAATATAATGTTATGTGTCTTAGTTCCTCTCTTTTTTGTGTGTTCTGTTTTCTATTGTCCTTTGTCTCACTGTCAGAGAAGATATGGTATACTAGCTTATACTTTGAGTTTATGCTTTGAGTATCTAAATGCTGATTACTGTCTGTGCTCATGTTTGTTTTTTTAACAGAGGTATGTGACAACCCGCTGCTGTCCAGCCTGCCGCCATCATCCTTCAGAAGCTCGTCTCAGTTGTCCAGCAGTCATGGACCAGTTTTTGCCAAAGTCAACAGGAGAGAAGGTGAGGAACTGCTCATGATGGTGCTGCTAAAAATTTGAACCTTGCAGGTCTTTTTGAAAGTTTTTTCTTTCTAATCAAATTGCTCAGAGTCCATATCAGTCACTTGGGCAGTAACATGTCTTAACATAAAGCCTAACTCTTGGGGGATCCTCTAACTGTACTTTAAGAGGGTTTTCATATGAGATAAACAGCAGGAAAAGCATTTAGTGCATTGAACATCTTTTATTTCAAGGCGAGCCTTAATTACAATCATCACTTGCACTAATGAGTGTCAGCACTGCAGTAATCTGTTTTTTTTTAACCTGTGCCCAAGATTACTTGAATGAAAACCTGTCTGAAACTGACTAACATTGCAGGAAAGTTTATTTTTTTCTTTTATTTGCAAGGTCCACAGTCAAATACAAAAATGTTGACCATTATTTTACAGTGAAAATGTGATAGATACATGAAAGTTAAACATGCTACTAAACTGTGGATTAGGAGGAGAAGAAAAAAGAGTAGATATTCAATTAAGCCCACTGATAAAACCTCATTTGTGTATTTTTTCCCTAATGTTTAAACTTCTTTTGATGTAGGAACACTAATGTTCCAGAGCTCCTTCAAACTGTTGCCAGGAAGGGATTAATATTGTGGTTCTTTTTTTAGCTCAAGCTGCATGGTTATCACTCTTCTCCACCCTTTCCCTCTCATAGAATTGACCTTTTACATTTTTCACAGCTGTTTTTGAAAGTATGAACAGTGGGGAGGGTTGGGATCTTAACAATCCATAAAAAGTTTTTTGCCATTTTAAAGTTTGTGCACTTGGTCAGTTGTTGACAGCTATTTTCGGGAGGCACCTTCAGCCAAGTGTGATGGTCAGAACTGACTGAGGAAAAAGCGAAGTAGCTGCAACGTGTTCTCCGTAGGTTGTGTTTTTACATTTTCTCATGGTTAATGAGACTATATGTCTCTCTACAGGACAATGAGCACAGCTGAGCTAAATTAAATATCTCTTATATCTATTTCTATGGTGATTGAAGAGCCATAGAAATAGAGCATAAAGGCTAATTTGTTATTGGCAAACTGAGAGTATCTTACCTTTACTCTGCGGTGAGAAACATTTCACATAAATATGCCATTTATAATGCATGCCAGTCTGGATATATGTATTTATATATACGTATACATATACATTTATAATGTCCATACAGAAAGACCTCAGGTTCCCCTGGGGTTCAAAATGGGAACCCTCTTGCTGTGGGGCAACAGTACTAATCACCACACCACTGTGGCTGCTATGCACTTGCGTGAAGTAAATTAAATTTTGGAGAGGACTGGCAATGAAAAATGCTGTTCTTTCTACCTCATTGAAGTCCACAAAGATTGAATGTCGTCAAGAGACGGGGGCAGTGTCACAGGGATTAACAGAGGCTTAGAGCACACATATAAGAAGCAATTCCTCTCATCATATACATCAGTAAAGGAAGGATGCTGCTCTTTAAAATGAGGCTTTCAGATAGTTATTATTTCGTGATTTCTTTTAAATTCACAGTGTTCATGTATTTTCTCAGTTATTAACTTCATAGTGTTCAGTGTTTTAGCACATTTCTTAAGTATGCAAGGAATCTGATTAAGAATAACTGGATTATCCTGTCTTGATTATTTAGAACATGCAGAGAGGTAACCACTATGAATCAAATTATTAATCTCATCCATACTGGCAAGCCTACTGATGGCAATAGCATGCTGTAGTTTGTTTTATGCAACAGGTCAGGATAGAGATGAAGAAAAAACATAGAGCAATTAGGCATAAAAAAACGCTTTCAAGTGGGGGTTTGATCTCAAAGTGTTGCAACGATTTACATTTCAAGAGGTAAACCACCCAAAGCGTATCTCAAAGAAAACACTGCAGTGACTTTGGGAAGCTCCTTGAAAGTCTTAAGGTTTTATCAGCCAGAGTCTGGACCAATATGCAGAGGAGCATCTTTGGAAATCTGTGAAAATGATTATGGGCTGATGTTTTCCATCAAATCTAATTAAGCTTGAATAATTCAGTCAATAAAAATGGCATATCTTTTGAAGGTAAGGTGAGCCAGGCTTGTAGGATTTTTCCAAAAGGAACATTTCACCTGAAGGGTGTGAAAACTTATGTAAATGAAATAGTGCTGGCTTTATCTTCACTGGGCTTCCAATTGGTCTCACTTAAAAACATTTTATCCAGTGAATAAGAGTTGCATGACTTTTTCTCATCAGAAATATGCCCCAAAAAATCTGAAAAACGTTCAGAAAAACTACAAAAGTAATTTTCTGTCTTCAGCTTCACTGTTTTAATTAAAATTGCGTTACAATAACGAAGGATAAATCTACAGCTGATGGCACCTGAAAGAAAGTGATATCAAGGCAGCATCTTGTGCACCCTTCAAATGTAAAATAATGAGGTCAGCCATGCTAAAAATCAACTGCACTGTGGAAGCCTGGCACTCACAGAGGTTAATGGATTAGCAGCAGGTGCTCTTTGCTGAGTCCTCAGGGAGTTGACTTTTTCCATTCAAAATGCGCTGGGTCTGATACTGAAGTAGAATTACAAAACAAAACCGCAGCGTTGTAGTTTGTTGTGCTCGTTAAAGAAGCCAATGTGAGGTCCCCACATTCTGACTTCCATCTGAGGTGAGAAGTTTGACTGTGTCACAATATACACTATATTACTTTCTACCAATGATTCAGGCTTTTATAGTCCTAACCTTCATTGCCATCTAATGTCGGTAATATTGATTATAATTCAGCCTTGTTTGGACTTGCCGGAAAAACAAAATTAGATGACATAATTCAGCCTTATAGCTAAATGTCAATGACAGCATTTAACATTTATTGGTTAAATGTTAATGGCAGTATTTAAAATGTAAATCTGTTTTTCAAAGGGCCACACTGATAACTGCACATTTAAAACGCTTTAATTAGTCTGAAATGGGCTTGGAATACAATCACTCCATGGTAATTATTTCCTGGAAGTGCCTATTTAGATTCCAAAAAGGGTCAAAATATTAGCTGGGGCTGCAGGTTTAAATGAGCAGTGTGGAGGACCCCATTCGATCCAGTTGATCTGTGTGTGATGTTGATGTTCTCCCTCTGCCTCTTCAGGTGGGTATCTAATTTTCTCATAAATTCCATGTCTGGTGAGACTGCACAGCTTCACCACTTAAATCCTCTAAATCTGAGGTAGTCAGTCTCTTCAGAAATCTAATCAAATGTGTAAATATTGCCTGATGTCTTCCCAAAATGCATTTCATCTTAGCTTGTTTTGATATAGCTCTGAATTTATCACAAAAAATACCCACAATGGCTCAGACATGGCAGGTCTTTGAGATGGGAAAATATATATCCCTTTCCCAATTTTCTCTCTGACTGAGCTCTCTGCAGTCCAAATGTACATATGTTTACTTTAAGTAATTCATTAAATTTTTTCTGTACATCATAATAACAGTGAACGTGAATATCTACAATCAACCGGTGACCATGTAACCCTAAATCATGAGAAATACTGCAATTTGCTCAAAAATGATTTTACAGTGCAAGTTGAAAGTGCAAATAGGCAGCTTAAAAATAACCATTACAGAGGTGTGACTGATCAAAGGAAAGACTTCAGTAAAAAAAATTTTTTTTTTTTTTTTTTTTTTTACCACCTTCAGCATATTTAAACTATATATGATGTCCCAGTCAAATCAACTTAGAAACTTTTTAAATTTCTTCCTAGCTCACACAAATACAATTTAAACTCTTGCCCTGATATTATTGCCATATCTCTCTCTGGCTTATTCTTCCTTAGGGCATTCTTGTTGACTTTGTTGGAGGTCCTGTTTTTGTCTCCCTGTCCCCTGCAGTGTCTTCTCTTGGTGTTAAACTGACACTGGGGGAAAACGATGTTCATTGTAGATCATGAAAAACACACACACACATATCACTGTGAAGCTTTCTCAGCTTCACAGTGATGCATAAGTGCTTTATGCATTCTGCTGGGAAATGTTTGATATTTTTTAAACTATTGGCCCTCTCCTGTTGGGAAAGGGCCAACAGTGTTTAAGGTTAAAACATGGCACTGCTATTTATTTCTCTGAACCGTCTACACACAAAACAGTTGAAGTATTCAAGTGGGCTTCAGATAGAAGAGTTTCTGTGCAGGATTTAGTTCATTTTTAAGGATCTCTTACTGCTTTTCAATGTGACTCGAGGGCACAATAAGTACTCTTTTTACTAGCACAACTTCACTTCCGTCATATCTAAACTTTTTCTTTCTTTTTTTAAATAGAGCTTTGGTTCAATCTTCCAACGATGCGGCCATAAAAAAAGTCCTAATCTGACAGTACGTGTCCTTGGCCTAAGTCCTAGCACTGAACCAGGAGGATGCATCCAAAATAGTATCCCCTTTGATGCTTTAAAGTTAGCCCAAATAAATCCATGTGTAATTAGCAGCTATGACACATATTCACCTCTTTGAAGAAATACACTCATTTTTGGAGAACAGGGGGAACTTAAGGAATGGAATACATTCAATACATTGAACGTCCACATTGAATGTTCAAGGCATTTTTGATCTTATAATGCATTTTTAATGTTAAAATATTCTACACAAAGTACAACAATTTTTCTAAGTTTATTTGAGCAACATATTCTGGTCAAGGCTGATTTTAGTTGCAGCTTCTAAGCTTTGAGTATTCAAGTCTGGCTATTTTGTTACTTTTTGCAGAGCCATCAGTGTCAAGAAACCCTACACTCATTTAAGCTTTTAAAATTAAACAAATGATAAAAGACTGAATTAGACATTGCCGTTTAGGATTGACTTCTATTTTTTTTTCCCCAGTTATCAACCCCACAATACAATAAGTGTGTTTTCCAATGTAAATCCCTTTAGATGGATCAAATGAAAAATAAAAGGACAAACATTGTGTTAAACTCGCATCTCATCACACGTGGGCAGCCTGCGTTGATTAAAAGCTGTATTGGCTACATCAAATAAAAACAGTCAGTTTAAAAGAGCTGATGAAATGTGAAACCATGAAAACAATCTAAAATATTGGATTCATGGTTTTGATTGTACTGTACTTTCACAATTTCTCCATTTAAAAAGATGTAAGGAGACACAATGATTTTTCTGTCATTTCAAATGCTTCCATTTTGAAGGGTATTTTGGAAAATGTACTCTGAAAAATTAAGTTGATTCAATTATGTAAAATAAACAAAAACTCATAGAAGCTATTTCTTCAGCTAGTGCAGCTGAAACACAGAAATTCTTGAACTTGATAAATTGTTAAATAACAGTGTTCAGCTTTATATTGCATTCCAAAGATGATTTATAAGCCCTTTTATCTTCTCTAAGAATTGTCCCTTTATTTTCCAGACTCCACAAATTGTCTTTTTTTGTTATAAAAGAATTAAAATGGAAATAAAATCACTGTCACCTTGCTGTTTTTTTATCATGTATGTCTCTTTTTTGCAATGGTATTGTTAGATAATATGCAGCTTTGAAGGGACTTTTTTCAAGTTACAATAGAAAGTAGGTGTGAGTGCATGTAAGTGCCTTACATTCCTGGATGTCCTTTCCAGCTGTTGCAGCAGCTGTTTTCAGGACTCAAATAGAGCACAATACCCCTGGGAGATATATTCATGCTCCAAAAATCACTGCAGAAATGATACATATTTCACCTCAGTGATTTGCAAGCATATCAGTGCATGTATGTGAATAAACAAGAATTGTAATGAATTTGAAGCACACAATGCTGACTTTCTATTTAATTGGATGAAATAATGGGTTAATTATGCAGAATTATCCTATTCATTCTATGAATAATAAATTATAAGTGAAGAGAGGCAAACATATAAGTTCCCTCTCAAAATGTCAACACTAGAGCATTTGCTTCTAACTATGAATTTGAATGATGTTTCTTTTCATGTTCATGTAAGGAATCGCATTTCACTTCAACAGTTCACCTTTTGAGCCTCCCAATCTTTTTTCCCCTCCTCTGCCACTATTCCTCTGTTTTTCAAGCGCATGAAGACACATGCACCCACAGTCATAATGTCAGCTTTCCATCACTTCATAGGGCATGATGATGCTTTACATTTCTCTTTAGACGCTTATCTTTCTAGTTCTTGTCTAATCCCTCATTTCAATGCAATGTCAGTGAGGTTCAGACAGAGTGTGTACACACAAACGATTTCCAGTCCTGAGCGTTTGTCCCCTGTGCAGGAGCTGGAGGCTGGTCCCCTCTGGTCTCAGACAGGTACCAGTGGCTGGAGGTGGATCTTGGGAGACGAACACAGATCGCTGCCGTTGCCACGCAGGGCCGTTACGGCAGCTCTGACTGGCTGACGGCTTACCTGCTGATGTTCAGCGACACGGGACACAACTGGAGACAGCACCGACAGGAAGACAGTTTAGGGGTAACTCCATTGCAAATAACAAACGTCCACTTGAAAATATCTTTCACGGTCACAGTCCCCCACTGTTCTCCTAACATTTCTTCTCTCTCCTGGTGGAAATTGAAGTATCAAAGTACAGTCATTACGTCATGTTTTACATACCTGTGTACTCAGATGTGACATTCTAATAATGGCCAAAAGATGCTTAAGGATGTGCGTTTTCAACCAAAGGGATCATTACATTTTGAACATATTCAAATGTCACATCATATTCATCCAATATCAGTAAATCATAGGAATGTGTGGAACATATGGTCTGCATACTTATTGGTTCATTCATCTTTTTAAGAAACTATTTCACAAAACCTCACCAGAAACCATTTATCTTTTAGTTCAGTTCTCACCACTCCATTAAATATCAGTGCATGGAGGGGCAAAATGTCTCTTTATGTTCAAAAACAAAGAAAGCACCAGATTAAAGGGAACATATGCAGATTTTTAGAATTTATCATAAATTCATGTAAAATATTATCTACATGAAACACATCATAAATCTGGATAGCGCTACTTCTGCGCACACATTTGCTATTCATGGGGCAAAGGAGACTAAATACTTTTCAAAGAGGTTAGGAAAAATTATATATCTGAACATGTCTGATAAATAGCGGCTCTTGTGCATGAATTGCACTTAATTGCACTGTATGTTGAGTAAAATATCTCTTTATTTTGATAAATTCTGCTGATACCAATGTCACTCTAGCAGGATTTCAAATTGAGGAACTTTGATCATGGTATTTTTATTCTGTCGTGTCATTGAGGGGAGGCCACTCCCCAGTCCATACCCCACGGAATCTCTCTCTCTCCTTGGTTGACAACTTGTCATAGGCTACTCATATTTCAAAAGGTGCTCGGGCGATTAAATGAGATGCTGTTCTCCTCAGCCTTCTCAGCAGGAAACAGCCATTTGTTGAGCTTAACGCTCCACTGCGCAGGCAGCTCAGTCCTTCAAAGCTCTAAAGACTGCACTGAGATCACAATTATGCAGAACCGGGGAAGCCAATCTCACTCACAAAGCCTCATCAGTACGCATTCAGCAGACTTACACACAGACAGGCAATGTCAACATATTGGAATAAGGAGGTCACATGCGAAGAAAGGACATGCATTTAAATATATGTACACATGCCTATTAACTTAGCTTGCCTATGTGAATATGTTTGTTAGTTTGGTTCTCATTGACAGTAATCCACCTTTGTCTGTCAACCAGAACGTCTCCCTGGATTTCTGCAGTTGATTGGGCAAATGGAAGCCATTAGTCTTTTCAGAAAGGTTTCCTATGGACACAGAATATAACTCAAGGTTATTGATCACTGGATAAAGAAGGTGGGAGTGAAAGACAGCAGATAGGATCAATGGCCTCTGTGAGTTCAAAGTTTTAAAATGCACAGCAACTGTGTGAGGACAGAACAGGTCAGGGAAACTTTTCTCCACACTGATCTTAAATATTAAGAACTGAGGCAATTATATTTTTTACCTTAAGATCTTTCTGTGGTTTAGCATATTCTGTTTTAAGTCTAGACATAAGAGACTGTGGGGTATTAGCCGCATTGTACCAGTGGCCGTTAGTGAAGCACTGGCAAAGACACCAGAAATTATTTTTAATCGTATGCAGGTAGAATGAAGCACTAAAATTCTTGTGCTGTTTCAGGCTTTTCCAGGTAACAGTAACGCTGACACTGTGGTCCAGTACAAGCTGGAGCAGCCAGTGATTGCACGCTATCTTCGTTTGATCCCATTGGACTGGAACCCCACTGGGAGGATTGGTCTCAGACTTGAAATTTACGGCTGCAGATATAGTAAGTATGCTCTTTTATCAGTTGTTGCTATTTTGTGTTCCTTAAAGATGTTGAGGATGAATTTGGATTTTCATCTTTCTCTTTATTCATATACGGTATATATAGAAAACATGCTTGTGCTCCTTCATGTCAACTATATGCTCATCAGGGACATCGTTTTGTTTTGGCCACAAGGAAGTATCAATCCAGGAGGTTTTAATCCCTACAGGAGTGTCCCTCTCTTTCTTTTAAGAATCTCTTTGAAACTCTTTGAAACTCTTCCAAGAACACCTCCTCTCAAACAACTTCTACCACTCTAGGTTTAGTTCCTTATGAGTAAGCCAGGATTTGTTAGCATATAGAAGCTCAACTGTTACTCCCATTGCAAGTCTTTTTCTTTGCCATTAAGCTGATGAGTCAAAAGCGTTGTTGGTCACACAAAATTCATAATAATGTAAGCTTTGCATTCTGAAGCTATTTTAAATTCTAAATATTCTTCAGGTTCATTCCCCTTCTGTCAGCTCCTTGTTGTATGTTACCATCTCTACATCTGTGATTCTAGGATTTAGATTTTTTGCTTTTCTTAAGCTTAAGTATAGTTTTTATATCTGTCTCTGCTGCATTATTTGTTGGTTTTAGAATAAATTTCTTCTTTTGAGTGTGTTGGATTCCTTTTTTTCTTGTCTGGCCCTACACCCGAATCCTCCCCCCCAGTCACAACCATTGATTCTATGCTATTCTATGTTTGATACAAAAAAACCAAAGGACCTACAGACTGAATATTACCAAAGTGTATTTGCATTTTTGAACTGAGACAAGAAATCTCTCACAGAACTGTTATGGAACAGAACCGCGTGTAACTGCATGAGATGGGTAAGTGTGCAGAAAAAAACCTTCTTCTTCCACTTTTTTTTGTCCCGTAGCTTCAGACACTGTAAGCTTTGATGGTAGCAGTAGCCTGGTTTACAGACTGAACATCAGGCCGAACTGGGCGTCGATGGAGGTCATCTCTCTGAAGTTTAAAACTCTGAAAAATTCAGGGACGCTGCTGCACGCTGAAGGACACAGAGATCACAGCCTGCATCTCGTGCTGGAGAAAGGAATGCTGCTGCTCTATCATCAACAAGGTACAATCCTGACCTCTGAGTTGTACAGCATCATGCATAATTGCTGCTTTTAAAGTGTTATTAACTCACCACATTAATTTAAAAGCAATTTATAAGTTTCCAGAATTCATTTCTGCATTCTATCACACAATCTTTTTTATGTATATTTCACCATGGGTAGACAGGGTTCCCACAGACAATGGTTTACAATAAAAAACATTGGAAATTTGAAAATGGTCAGATTTTTAAGATAATGATTTGATCATTTTAAGTCACAGAAAACGTTTTCCATTATAGAATGAGTAACTTTTTAGAGTGCTTTTGCAATGGGGAAAAAATAAGCTCCCTTTGCAAGCTCGTTGTGCTTGCATGCCAAGCACAATGCCCATTCCTTTTCAGCCAGAATGATAACTTTAGCTGAACCAAAGCAGGAACGTGTTGTTTTGGAGCTGCAGTACAGACTTTATTCTCAGTGGTACTTGCTGTCAGTGTTATGGGGCTGTGCTGTGCTTACGGGTGCAGGTGCTTCTTGAAATCTTAAGTAGAGCTTCTAGCAACTGAGACATAACTATGAACTGGACTTATTCTTGTCATTTACACCAGCGAACAAAAAATACTTGATATTAGAATGCCTCCAGTATGTTCAATTCATTGAATAATTCTTACAATTAAAAACCTCTAATGACCCATAACTGTCTTTTCACTGATTTTCACTGGCTAACAGTGAAAATCAGGTCTAACCGACAAAAGTGATTTAATTTTTATGCTCTCTTGTCTATTGACAATACCTTATCAATCTATACCAAAAATATTTCAGCCAGCCCACAAATGAACCCTTTTCATATTGCACAGGCTAGCACAGGTCTCCAGATTATGCTAAGAGACAATGTGAAAATAACTGACTATTCTGATCTTTGTTGCAAGACGACGTGAACATGCATGTTTATTTGTGTCTGCATTAGCCCAGTTGCACTGCTGACCTGTCTGTGATGTACCACAAATCTTTACTTATTACAGATAGTATTGCATTTATTGAATTATTAATGAATGATATAATTATTGAACTGCTGGGAAATAGAGGGGTTAAAGATAAAGCCTTTAAAAGTATACTATAATTTCCTATATAAGAATGGTGACCTGCATACTATGGACGCTTTGGCTCAGTGGATGAAACAGGATGTCCTCTCAATTCAAAGCTGAAGCTCATTGGGCAAAAAGCAGCAACTTCTGCATGACAGTGTTCAAAGGTCTTTGCTATGAGCCTTCTGAATCTTTTTATATTCACACTTCATTAGTTTAGAATTTATTTTTGCTAAACTCTGCAGCACTGACTGCCTATTCAAGGCTTTGAGAAAATGTCAGCAAAACGTTCAAACTCTACATCACAATTATAAGCTCTCTGAGGCAATTTTTCAGAATTTCTCCAATCTTGTCTCTGTAGATTAAAACTTAATATCCAGCACATTTTGTGGCTTAAGTTAAATGGAGCAAGTTCTAAGTTGGTTTCATCCATCTGCTGGTGTGTTGTTTACAAGATATGATTTCCTAAAATGCCTGTGCTTCAATTTTGATAAAACTTAGGGGAGTTATGCTTTTTCCTATTTTGACAACTCAGTGCAGTCTGTGTTTAATCAAATCTAAAGCATCTCAGAGAAAAATAATCTGATTTTAAGGGGTTTCAAGGAGTAGATTTAATCATTTAATGCTTTAAGCAATGTTGTAGGTTAACTTGAGGGGGATTTTCTTTTTTTTAATTGGAAAATTGTGTGCTATTTTTTTCATTTGACTATATCCTTGTTTTTTTTTTCTGGTGTAGGTCTACCTCACACATCCATTTTCTCATAACTGCTGTCATCAGTTTACTTTTAGGATTGTGGTAAATTCTATAAGTCTGTAAGCTTTTATGTAAATGATAGAGAGGACCCTCTGCTTCATTGTCCAGTTATTCAGTCCAGGATGCTCAATTCAGAGTGCAAGGCATTTGAAACATGTGAGTAGAGCAAGACAACAGAGTTTCAGAATGTGTATGTCAATGACAAACTGCTGTTGAACTCTGTCAACAATTCAAAATAAAGGCAAGAGAGTCAGAGCCACAACCTGCGACGTGGTGTGAATCTATATTGTTTTGTTTTTTTTGTAGAAATTTTTTTTTCTACTGCCCAGAAAATACAAGGCCTTGTGTGCTGTTATGTCTAGTTTCTCAACAGAGTTTTGCAAGTTTTTGTTTTTGTTGAGTTGAGGTGCTCCCTATCAGCCTGCATTATTCCCTCTTCTGATTGAAGAGCATTGATGATTTATCTATCTTGTGTATTTATGAGGTTTCAATGGTAAAGGTTTTCTTTTTCTCGTTCTTGTTTCTTTTCTTCACTGCCACATATGTTGCACCAATTCTATCCTTAATGGGTTTTTCAAGGGTGATTATTTATGTTTTGAACTCAGAACCTCCCTCCCTCACTCTGAGTTGGAATGTGCTGTCTGCAGACAGTGTAATTTGGATCAATAGTTGAGAGTATCCACCTACAGCTATAGCATGCCCCTCCACAGTCAGCGGTACAGTCAGCAATGAGACAACAAGTGAAGGGAAGAGAATAGAATGTGGGATATTTTTTTAGATACTTTTAACTCATCTCTCCGATTCGGCAAAATAATATTTTCAGTTGCCTGTCTTTGAACAGAAGTGCCACATTTTTAAAAACAAGCTGAACATGAAATATTCTAAAAAGAAAAACACGATGAAATCGGCTTAAGAATTGTTTTTATTTTTTCATTTATTTTGGTAATTTATTGGCTCAGTAAATAGAAAAATAGACCAATGTAACGTAAGTATTAAGCAAATAGACATGGGGAAAAAAACACTATGAAACAGTGAAGTCCCTCTGTCTGCGTGTAGCCACCAAAGATGTTTGAATAAATTGACTGTCTCATTAAGATTTATGCCGGTGTTTCAAAACCACCTTATTTCCCCAGTGCTTAACATTTATCAAAGTGTCAGTTTGTGATGATGTAGCCTGCTGCTTCATGGTTTAGTTGAATAGTGAACCATCATTAGGAAGCTGTAATACATTGGAGTGAATGCAGTGAGGACTACTGTGTCCTGGTCCACTGCTTCTGGTGGAGTGCTGTTAAGTATTGCTGACTAAATTAGGACGGCATCAGGGAAGCGTGCAGGGCAAGCTGCGTGTTGAGAAAATGACTTACCCTCCTCCATCCACAGTATTAAAGACAAGCTGAGTGGTTCCCAGCTATGCCTTGAATAGATATAACACAGGAAATGTAAAACCTTAAAGTCACAAAACCTGCACAAGCAGGTCTTTGTTTTTTTTCTCACAGTTCAAAAACGCTATATTATTTGCCAGTTGGAAAAGAAAGTGGAAGACAATGAACTGTCGTGATTACTGTTGAAAAATGCTCCACTTTGTCTAAAGTGATTCATTGGGTGCCCTTTGGGCTTTTCCTTGAAAACAGCCGACAGGTTGTTAAAGATAGCCTGAATCTACAAAGCTGAACCGTTGACCGTCTCAATGCACCTCTCTGCTGTGTAATAGGTGCTGAATGTGTGTGTGCTGCAATGAGACAATATTTATCTAAAGCTAGATGAGTTTGCATGGATTAACACAGTTGACTTTCATTGGAAGAAATCAAAGGGAAACCATTTACCCTCTTGTGTCACACAGGGAGCTAAATGATATGCCTTTTTCTTATAGTTTTATATTAAGCAATTGATTCCATTGAGTGAATCTGTTTATGATTCTCTCAAGAACATACACTTTATAATTAATCTTTGATTAATCTCTGGCATAATTCACTTTGTCAAAAATATAAACTGTGATAGTCTCATTTTATGGCATCATCCTTTGTAATTTTCCATCCTCCTACTTACAGAACAGTTATTTACCGTACTTTCTTTTAAGCATGCAGACCACAATATGAAAAAGAATAACAAATCAACAGAAGCTTTACCATTTCAGCTACTCCTTCTGTTCATTAGATCAACACCAATTGGAGGTTTTCATGTCATAAAAAATAAAACCACTGAGAGGGGCCAGTGACCTTAAGTGTGTCCTTGTTAAAATAGTTTGATGTCGGCTGGGACAGAAAGCTCACTCCAAAATGCATTTCAGATAAATGAAGAATTCTCGGTCTTAAACAGATCTCTGCTGTCAGTAGAAACATTACTCTTCTGTCAAATGTGCACCACGCCAACATTCTCCCTCTTCTCTTCACTCACCATCTGCTGCAGGTGTGGGTTTATCATCCGGTGGTCAGCTTCTTCTTTCTCTCGGTAGTCTGCTTGATGATCAGCACTGGCATTGTGTGAGAATGGAACGGCTCGGCACTCATCTCAACCTCACCGTGGATAAAAACACACAGCACGTTTACTTACCCGCTGAACTCAGCCACTGGCACATTCACACGGTGAGGAGATACAGAAGGTTTTTAACTCGCTCCATTGCCTCAACTTTAGCCAACACAAGCTGATGCTGGATGATAATTCACTCCAGCTGCTGAGTAACTGTGGAGAAAGAATTACGTATGTATAATCATAACAAATGGAAGCTGAACTTGTTTCCAAACTTTGAGGAAGAAGTATTAACAGAGGTCTTCAGGATTGTTTTTTATTAGCTGGGCATCTTATTCATTCTTTCATCAAAGAGAAATAAACTGAAAACCAGGCCCATGTTTTTGCTTTGTTAGGTTTTTCTTGCATGGTGACAGGGTTTGTTTACAAATGGTGACGAGTCAGTGTCATTTGTGATACGTCTTCAATACGTTATTTGATTTCCAGTTGCAGAGGACGAGTACTGCAGACGTTACCATCTAAAACACTGAAGTTAAAGTAGAAAGCGAGACGACCACTATTTCTGGAGCACAAGCTGCATGTTCAGTCATATAAATCTGAACAAAATACTTGTTGAATAAATTGGACATCATCATTTTAATATGTTCTTCAAAGGTGAAATAATGAAACAGTGTTTTTTCATTATTTTCTGGTTGCTCTGCAGACATCTTGAGACAAAATGTAGCTCTTGAAAAATGGATTGTGAGTTTATATTACAAGCTGGATGCCTTGTCAAAGAGGAAACTCCAAACTTTTTAAAGCATACTTTAAATATGTCAGACAGTGGTTAATACTTTCCATAGTGGTCTTACTACTTTTTGTGCATTTATTCCTTGTGCAGCTGAGTCTGGCCGCAGTTCAGAGCCATGGATTGCAGAAACCTATTCTTCCCAACAGGAACTTTCACGGCTGCCTGGAAAACCTGCTGTACAGTGATCTGAATCTAATAGAGCTGGCCAAAAAAAACAGTCCACAGGCCACTGTTGTGGTAAGCTGTTTTCTGTCAGTGTCTGTGGTGCATCATTATAGTAACCTGCCACACAGTCTTTTATTGTTTGTTTTGTTGAAGGGAGAGAAATGTGTGAATTTAGGGATGTGAACTTTCCAAGTTGAATAGCTGAAAATATAACTGGACACATATTCTCAACTGTTAATACATTCATGCGTAATGTTTTTGTTGTTCGTTTTTTTGTTTGTTTTTTACAGCAAATCACTACCTAATAATGACCCCAATACTTCCGCCAAATACGTTTTCTTTCAAAACGTCCTTTTCTCAAAGATGTAATTATTGGGAACTTTCTTTGATGAATTTTTGAAGTTTTCAGGTTCATCGTTAAAGACGTTATTTCATCGAAAAACACATTCTTTTGTCGTACGCCCATGCAGATTTATTTGACAAATACCTGGCACTTTAAAGCTCAAGGTTGTACATCACTGTCATAATGTTTTTTCATTTAGCATCGCATCTCCACCTTTGCTAGAAAAATTCTTGACAGTTTGCTTCAGGAAAGTCAAATGGAACACCTACAGATGCTTTAAGGACTCATAGAATAAGTTCATTCTAGCAGTTATTGCTAGAATATCTCATGCATACTTATTCTCATCAGAGATGTTCCACCTACCTTAGAGATATGCCTGGATAAGAGGGAATATAAGAGTAGAAGATACCAGTAACAAAAGGAAAGGATATAAATTGCATGAAAATGGATAAAATCATACTTTATATAAAGTATAGATGTTTGAAAGTCACTTAAAACTTTTCATTTTCCATAGAATTGATGCTGCTTTTGACTAAAAACTAAAGGTGGTAAATATACATGTTAGTTTAAATAACCCAGCATCGGCAATAAAGCAAATGCAATCATTTTGTGAAGTTTTGAAGGTGAAGTTTTTTCCTCTTAGACTTTTCCTCTAACTCTACCTCTTTTTTGCTTCGACTCCCTCTTCTTTTCCAGTGTACTTATTATGCAAATCTTGATCATACCCATCATTTGCATCATAGTTTGACACTCATTGTCATCAGCAGCATCATTAGCATCATCCCCCTAATCTTTTTTTTTTGTAATCGAAGCATGTGTTATCACGTTGTGGAGCTAGAAAACCCAAAGCAAAACAAGATGAGATTAACCTTTTCATTTCTTCTTTTAGTTAAATGAAGGAAGTATATGATCGTAAATGCTTGTAATGTGATGATAGAAATGTCATATCTAGCATGTCCCTCATTTTAGAGGATTTAATACAACATATTTGCTGCCAAGGAAAGGAATTTGTATCACTGTTTTATGTTTTTTTCTTCTTTTTTGGCGGATAGAATTTTTCTTTTATCCAAACTGATGAGAGATCGTGACATATGAATTGGAAGCCGGAGTTCTGTGACCCTCATGCCTCAGGTTTTTTAATGGAAGCTAATATCAATATGTTAATACAGTTTTCATTTTTCAGAGATGTGCTGATGAGACCTCTGTGACATTCTGTCACACCAAGTCAGCCTCTGCAGTTGATGAATATTCATGTTTTATCATCTCTTTCATAAACAGTCCTTCCTCTCCTTCTCCTTCTCTCCTTTCTTTCACAGGGCAATGTGACCTTTTCTTGTGCTGAGCCGGTTTCGGTTGCTTTGACGTTTACTGACATGCACAGCTTCCTTCAGCTGCCTGGTCTGACATCGTGGTCATCAGGGTTTGCTTCTATAACACTTCAGTTCAGAACATGGAACGAGGTTGGACTACTCCTGACCTTTGACCTCACAAATCAGGAAGGGACAGTCTTTCTGTACCTGAGCGAGACCAGGCTTCGCCTTCAGATCAGGAAAGCTAACAGGACACAGCTGGAACTCAGCACAGGTATGCACGGTCATGATCAAATATAGCCCCTTCCGGATCTGCTGATCTCTTCCGTGGAGAATAAAATGGAACTGATGAGCTTCTATTTCGGGTTTTTCATCCATCAGTCAGGACACTATCTGAAATCTGTTTGCTTAACCTGTGCATGGTTTGCACGTCTCTATAAAGAGCGTTCATCTGATCTCTCAGATAATCAGATACTTAAACCATCCTCCAGTGCAGCAATGTTTTAAATAAATGTATGTATTATTTTTGGAATATGTATGAAAAAAAGGGTCTGAGATGCAGGAAGACATTTTTTTATTATAACCACAGCTACATGCATACCAATAACCGAAAACAGCTGTAGTCATAGAAATGTTCCTCATTTCCCTCAATTTCTCTTGTCTGGCCTTGCTTTCAATTCTGATGTTTCATAGCCAATAGTCTCTCAATAGAAATGATACATTGTGACATGGAGTTTGCTTTTTAACTTATCAGGTCACAATTTTGTTCAGCAAATGTATGCTTACTCAGTGGCCATTTCTCTTTGCTTGCAACTTCACACAGTACACACTCCCTCAACTTTATTTAATTCATGTAGCATTCAAAACACCTCGAAGGTCAGAACATGTACAAGAGTAAATAAGAAAAATACCTCTCATTTATTCGGCACAATGTGTACTCTGTCTTCCTATTAACCGAGAGGATATTTGGTCAAATTCTGTTGAAGTTTTTCTTCTGCATAAGGTTTTCTTCTTCACATTGGTTTGTGTCCCTGCTTGCTGACGGTGATGCCAGTTTTTGTTTAGCTCAGTGTGACTTTGTGTTGGATGACTGTGTGTGCGTGCTTTCAGGCTCGGGTCTGAATGATGGTCAGTGGCATTTTGTGGAGCTGAAATCCCAAAAAGATCATCTCAGCATAACTGTGGACAAAGACAAAGGAGCCACTGCTCACAACAATATTTTGCTGCCACTTACTTCAGACAGCCAACTCTTCTTTGGCGGTAAGAAAAAAGTAAATCATTTCTGTCTATTTTGTTTTCAAAATATATTTGAATTTTTCTATATGAATTGGCCTGCTCATAGGATAGACGTTTATTCAAATTCTGGAAACCTCTTTTATGTTTGGTAATATAAAATATACATAAAACATGAAGTATTTTGTTATATATATTTATAACAAAATGAATCACAAATGGATGAGACCTTGAACTCACTGATGGGATTATGTCTGCCTTTGCTGTTAGCATAAATAAGAACAAACAGAAAGAGATAAGGTTCAGTATGAAGGGTCATCATAAAAGCCAAGATAATTGAAGAACTTTGTGAGAGTCACTAGATAATGAGAAGATGAGATTGGTTGGAGATTAGTATTAATGCAAATGCAATGAATAGAAAACCATTACCGTATGAAAAGGCTAAACTATGAAAGTTAACCTTTTGAGCCCCATGGGCACTTCTGGAGATCCTGCTTAAAAATTACATACCCAAATTATAGTTTTTCTTTGCAGTTTCAAACTCCGGGTAAAGCATGATGGTATCAAACAATGTTATCACTTGTGAGGATTTAGCTTTAAGTGTTACAGACTGGCATCAAACAAAAATAGCCTTTCAAGCATCTCCTGAAATGCAAGTGATAAGTTTGAACATAAGCTTAATTAATAGTTCTAAGAAAAAATAATAATATCTCCACAGTATATATAACACAGAGGTTATATAAATGTAATTCAAAGGCCACATACCACCGACATATAGGATGTTACACGTGAATGGTTTTACAGTGAGATTTGTCTCTACACACCAGCAGTCATGATGAGTCCAGAGCTCCTGAGGTTTAAAGGGTCTCAGGATGGAGCAATGGACGAGACCTTCAAGTTAAAGAGCTGAATATGAGGCCTGCCCCCCACCCCCAGCATGTCAACTTCACACATTGCAGAACTTGTGCCCTGTTCCCACTTTCAGATCCTATTTAATATAAACATCAAAATATATTTTATTGAGATGACCAAATAAAACACTGCAATGACATTTCCACATGTATACATGTACTGACAATCAGAGGGAGGGAAATGATATGCATCAAATTGATATGGACTAGGTCTTGATCCAGACCTGCTGTGATAAGAACTTTTAGCCTTTGCACATGGGGTGCCGACTAAGTCGTTGAATTATCTTCTCTCCATGTGTTTTCATCATCAGGTTGTCCTGCCCAGAGGGGCATCCTCATGTGCAGAAACCCCTTCAGTGGGTTTCAGGGATGCATGCGTCTCCTGACTCTGGATGGCCAGCTTGTTGACCTGATGAAAGTGCAGCAAAGACTCCTGGGTGACTACAGCCACCTGCAAATTGATTTGTGTGGCATCATTGACAGGTTAGTCTCCCAATGTAGCGCCTGAATCTATCCTCTATCTTTCAATCGATTTGTGAGAAACGATAGATGGCAAGCAACATTTTTTACAAAAGAGCTTGATCAAGTTTTTATTTTTATAACACTTTTTTCCAAGTTAACACCTTATTGCTTCACACCCTATAAAATTGATACAACAAACTTGACTTTCCCTTCCTCTTCCTAAAGTAGTCAATTCGTTCTAGATCCTTGAAGTTGTTTGTGTTTTTTTTATTTATTTTTTTAGTTTCTTTAAAAATGTTTTACATTTGAGTGCACAGCTCTCTGATTAAAAATATATTTCATTATATCAGTTCAGGTACACAATCAAAATCAACCTCCACTTTTGGAAAAATCTTGCCCTCTACCGCGAGGGCTTCCCTTTGATCCAATAATCCAATTTATTTTTAACTAGTCTTACAGGCTTACTATACGCATTACTAAATGGATTAATTGGCAGGCAGTTCACATCCTTCATTAGGTAACTGGCAAATAGCCAAAATTCTTGTCAGGATATCTCAGAGGTAATGGAGAGCAGGACATTGCTGGACAGTGAAAGTGTGATATGAGATTAATTAAACCCAAGATGGGGGTCTATTCAAAGTCATTTGATAGATCTGATATGGGAAACATTTTGAGAAAAGAATATTTCAGACAAGCGTTTTTAAAAGAATATGAATGATTTTCCAATGATATGAGGTTTTTGAGCATACACTGCCATACCACCTATTTCTTCCATCTGGATGTATGTGAGTTTGTGAGACAAAATGTTTTCAAATTTGATGGATGATGCTGCCAGAAGGCTGTAATTCTGACCTCTCTGCCTCTGCCAGGCACTTGACAACCTAATAATATGTCTAATCAAAGAGCACACACACATTGTCAAGTAAAAGAAACGCAGGTCACCAAGTCCATGTCTGACTGCCTGGATCTGATGCTCTGCCTCCCACTTGGACTTTAGGACACCTGTTGTCCAATGTGACCTTGTCTATGTGTCTATGTATAGGCATATGTAAAAAGATGTGTTGGCTTACTCAGGAGCAGATGTAGGGAAGACTGAAAAGATGAAAATTGCTCATGATGTTCAAGACTGACACACTGCTGTCATTTGAAGTGTGTTTATGACATCTAGCTTTCCTGTATTAGATTAATTAAATTTAAGTATTAAGATGAAAACAGCAAGTTAGTCAAATTTATGCCATAGAGGGTTGTTTTTCATTTTAATTTGATATCTGTTTATCATTTAATTGTTTCTCCAGGACACAGTGTAAAAGTGTGACTGACCCACTGAAAAGTCTGGAATCAGCCATTAGTATGTAATTTCATGCAATTGTTAAAAACACAGTGCTTCTGTTTGTAATCTCAAACCCCATAACTGCAAATTTAAGGTACCTTATTATTTTTCATTGACTGAAATCAGTCCCAGTTAAATATACCTAAACTTGCTATTCAAAATTCTGAAGTGTCTGAAATGCAGCTTCTCCAAGATGAACTAAACACACTGTGAAATTATGTCACTGTAGTGACAAAGAATATAAAAACTCATAAATTTAGACTTGCTGCTTAGCAAATGAATTAGTACTTATTGATATATCAGTATTAGTACATTTAAATGTACTCTTGAATGCCTCACACCCAAATATGGTCACAGAGACCTGATAAGGATTTTTTTTCTCATTACTTGCCAATCTTTTGTCTAATGGAGGTTTGCTGGCTTATGAGCATCCCTCTCCACAGGTTCTCGATCCATTTGTTGCTGTCTACTACAGAGCACTGAAGTTTATCTATTTTATTCTAGATTTTTGAAGAATGAATGCCATTTCTTTATCAGCTTGTAGACAAAATCAATTTATCATCCGTGTCCTTATCGACAGATCAAGATTCTTTAGAGAAGAAAAATTATATTTGCTTTTAAGGATTCTGTCTTGCTCCCCAACTTAACTGGAGAAAGGATTATTTCTCCTACCTACAATTAGCTTACAAATTACTTGGATCTGAATATTCTATTAAAAATCATTTGAATTCACAGAACACATATTCATTTGTAATCAAGCCTTAACCTTTAGAGAAGTCGAGGATTTTTAAATGTATGCTTTGTTTGAATCATGATGTATGAATGTATTAATTTGTTATGTAAATTATCAAAATACCAAGTTTAGAGTCATCATCACAGTCAGACGTCTTGATAACAGATTTTTTTTCTTCTCCTTTTTATGGATTTGAGAACTTGGCGGGAACTTTTACATACAGTGAACTTCTGTCTTTTTGTTTGGATTTATTTTCTGTCTGTCTCAGATGCTCTCCAAGTTACTGTGAGCATGGAGGTAGATGTACTCAGTCATGGAGCAACTTCCACTGTAACTGTTCCAACAGCGGCTACAGAGGAGCCACCTGTCTCACCTGTAAGCATGCAATAGTAAAACATACACATGAAGTCATCTGTGTTCATGCAAGATCCACTGAATGGTATATCTTGTCAAATATTAGATAACAGAAGAAATCAACTATGGTTTGTTTTCCTCCCTTTGCAAACTGTTAAAATATCATCCTTTTTATTATTGTGTAACATGTTTCTTCTCTGAATACACTTCTTGTTTGGAAATAAACATACCCTTCTAAGTCTGTATCCCAGATCGGGTGAAACTTGGGGAAGGTGAGGGGGACCTATCATGGTAGGGGAAGTTTCTGCACGTATCACTCAGAGTGAAGTTAACACACAAAGAAATATATGCTAGGTATTATGAGAATAATTCTCATATTCAAATAGGGAGATAAATTAAAGGTAGTGGATAATGACAGAGCTAAGATTCTGAGGAACTTCCAGATCCAGACTGATAAACAGGTGATGGTTAACCCATCAGACATTGTAGTGATCAACAAACAGGAGGAAGAGGGCAGTTGACAGTAAAATCAAGAAGTACTATGAGAAGCTTGACAAATACTAAGGGCTGAAGGAAGAATAAAAGATGTGGGAGTTTAAAGGCAAATGGAGAACTAGGGCCTATAAACCCAAATTTAGAGGATTTTTCAGAAATATTGTCATTATTATAACGATAAATGGATGTCTTCTATTTGAAGGATTAATTGCAATCATTTAAGTTGCATTCTTAGGTAATGGAATAAAGTTGATATATTCCACGCATGTTTTCATCAAACTTGCTTTAATAAGACAGAGGCTCCCTGTCCCCCAACACTCCATTACCTTGTGTGGATGTTTTTTTTTCCTCTACCATTGTTGCAGAACTTTAATTAGCTGTGTTCAGTTGGGAATATACCAAACATATTGCATGTACTTCATTATGCTCTGTAAATTAGAATCCTTTTTTTAATACAAAGTCATGAAAGGTCTATTTAGTTTTTTCTCATTTCTGCACATGGGCAGATACCTATCTTAATTTTAAATGTTTCTCTGCAAAAATGTTTTGGAGCCAAGCAGGATTGTATGGCCTGGTTCACTTTAAAGTGACGTAATAGTTTACTTTTAACTGAAACGGCTGAGATTGAAGAAAAAAGGTTAATAAAAAAACTTAAGGCTAATTAATGATGATTAAAAAGGAACTTTTTTTTTAAATCAATGTCAGTTTTTGTTGAGGGTTTATCATATTTGGCTGTGTTTTCCTTTTTTTAGTTAAATGTTTGAAATATTTTTCCCATGTAAACTATGCTTGAAAGGTCAGCACATTTGAAATAGAAATGTTTTATATGAATTTCCTTCACACCTAATCACGGAAATAAGATGGAACAAAGAATAGAGATATGTGAAAATCCTCTGGAGGAATGAGAAATGTAGAAAGTGCTTTTTGAAGAGAAACACGAGAGAAAGGGAAAGTGTTAATGTCCTGTGGCATTTTGTTCATTGTGTTCTTTCTCTATAAATTTATTTCATTGTTGAGACTGCCTGCAGAGGTTTTAGGTGATCCAATTTGAAATTGAAGAGATTGTGGCTTTGATTATAATGCCAAGAATTGATTAAATCTTTGCATACTTGGGTAGAGAGTTCATCTTTAAGATGGCTCATGGCGAGTTCAAAAGAAAAGGTTCAGCGTAACAGGTAAATAATGTTCTGACGAAAGTCACAGCTTTTGTTGAAGCTAGTGAAGCGCTTTATTAATATTTATATACATAATGTGATATAAATGATTTTCTGCAGTATTATTCACCAGCCACATATTTAGGAACGGTGCCCCCAAATATTGTTTTCAGAAATCAGTAAGCATTAAAAAAATAAAGGTATTAAAGAATTTGTGATACTGTACTTTATATTCTGTTCATATTTCCCCCATCAGCAACATATGAAAAGTCATGTGAGACGTACAAACACAAAGGCCACACCTCTGGGCACTATTACATAGATGTTGATGGCAGCGGACCTCTCAAACCCCAGCTCGTTTATTGTAACATGACAGGTGAAACTCCTTTGAACTTTTTCACAAACTGATATTGTTAGTTTAAACTACTAATAAGGACTACTTTACAAAGTCCCACTTTATCTCACCATCCTCCCTACTTCTCCATCAGAGGACAAGACATGGGTTGTGATCCCGCACAATAACACAGAGCTGACCAGAGTTCAATCCTCCTCAGAAAGAAACCAACACTTTGCCCATTTTGACTACTCTTCTGAGGAGGAGCAGCTTGCAGCCATCATTAGTCAATCAGAGCACTGTGAGCAGGAGTTGTCCTACCACTGCAGGAGGTCCCGCCTCCTCAATACCCAAGGTGAGCTCTTAGCATTTTGTAACATGTGCATCACTTGATTTAATCATTAAAAAAAACTTAATCATAGTGTTTAAAATGCCTTTTTATTTCAGGATGGAGGAATTGTGGCTAAAAAAAACACAGGAAACTTTTCTACATGATTGAGATTTGAGTAAAGAGGTGTATATTTAGTGAGATTTAGGGCTCATTAAAGTACAAATTACAATTCCGTATAATTATTTTACTTTAATTAAAATAAATCATCAGCTAGATCTCTTTGTGTCTCTGAAACTACACGACATGTAATGGTTCAAATTATGCATGTCGGAGAGAAAGCAACCAATCTTGCTTTGGTCTGTGAACCAGTGCCTTATGTACTAAGAAACTCTCTTATCAGAATGAATGTGGAGGGGATAAGTCTTGAGAACAGTGTTGCTCATGACCTGCCTAGTTTTATCAGGGAAACAGCAGTGGTATTTGTTTAAGGCTGAGCAGGCACAATAATGTTGAGTTTATCTGAAACTCTATAAAGAAGTGTTTTCTTGCAGTCAGACAAAAAAAAAGATCAATAGCAGTGAATAGAAAGGAAACATTATCTCTGTTTGCATTTAGTATAAAAGTAAAGCTGTCAGAACAGGAACATCACACATGTCAGTCAATCCATCCTCTCTGGATTAATCTTCTTCCTGTGTTAAATAAGTTCTGAATTCACATGTGTTTTTCTGTAAAATTATGCCCTGCAAGAGAAGAAATAAACCTTTGTTGTATGCGGTGGTATGCTTGTTTAAGATGGAGGTCCATTCAGCTGGTGGGTGGGAGGCCCAGGTCCAGGTCAAGTCCAGACCTACTGGGGTGGAGCTCAGCCTGGCAGCCAGCAGTGTGCTTGCAGTCTGCAGAACAGCTGTTTGGACTCAACTTACCACTGCAATTGTGACGCTGACTATGACCAGTGGTATTGTACCCTGTCTTACCAATGTGGTCCTCAATTTCCATGACATAAAACTGATCTGTATGCGATCTATGCCTTTCACAGTGACAGTGCAATCATTTTTTAAGCTTTGATGGACTACCAAAAAGGGGGGAAAAGTCTTAAGTTTACTTTACCCTGACACGGTTTGGGTCGTGAACAAAATGAAAGCTTTTCCATTTCTATAGGTTAATGTACATTTTCTTAAGACAATGTTGTCTAAAGGTATTATTGCTTTCCAAACCACATAACACATAATTAGGAAGAAGTCAAATACAACCTTAAATATCTACCAGGAAGGACAGATGCAACACCTCTTGCAAGCAAAAGGTTTTGTGCCTGCTTAAGGTCAACTTACCTTGGTTTACATTAGTTGGTTAATGAATTGAACAAAGAAAATTTTGAGTTTGAAACAGCCATGCGTGCTTTGCAGAGGAATCATTGTAGCAATATTTGAGATAATCTTTTTTTTCATCTACTGTCTACCTCAGGACTGATGACTCAGGTCTGCTCACCCACAAGGAAACCCTCCCAGTCAGGTCTCTGGTGCTCGGTGACATCCAAAGGCCGGGATCAGAGGCAGCCTATCAGGTGGGACCCTTCCGTTGTCATGGAGACAGTAAGTAATCTCCAACTGTGATTTCATTACGATGATTCAACAATCTTTGTCCAGTTTCCTTGCTGCTATTTTATTCTGTGACGGGGCTTTAGATATAAACTTATCAAACCACTTAATTAGCAGACTGACACATGATCCCTTTAGAACAATATATTTTATAAATGAATATGAGAAAATATATATATTTCTTATTGTTAATGATTTCATCCCTTAAGTCTGAGTAGATGAATAAATGCCGTAGGACAAATCAACATAAATTAGGTGGGATTGATGTTAATTAAGAGGGAAAAACAGAAGGCTGTAAAGCTTTTAGAAATGCTTTAGCTTTTCTCTGTCTTACAGAGAACTTCTGGAACGCAGCATTTTTTGACAAAGAGACATCCTACCTCCATTTTCCCACCTTCCATGGAGAGCTGAATGCAGAAATCTCTTTTCTTTTTAAAACAACATACTCTTCTGGGGTCTTTCTCGAAAACTTGGGGATCAAGGACTTCATAAGGATAGAACTGAGCTGTAAGTTACAACCAGTGTTGTCCAACTGCATGATGCATATGATGTGAAGGGTGTCTTTATGTCCACCTGCCGCTCAAAATGCAAACTATGAAGAATATGTTAAATTGAGCAAACAAATATGAGCTATCTGGAGCCTCTTCCCTGCTCTTTCCTCTGAATGAAAACAGATCTCTGTCCAGCTGTTTGTTTGTGCTGTCAACAGATGGCCGGGTTGGAGGAAGTCAGTCCAGCCGTCTGCCAACAGGATGATGGAGGAATGCAACTGTTTGATAGTTTAATTGCAAAATAGCACAATGTGCATCCAGACAAATTGCACATAAACACTTCTCATATTAACAAAGTCATGAATTAAATTAAAAATAGGAAAAGGCTTAAGCTTTAAATAGTTTTGATACACAGAATGTGACGATTAACAGTCATTCTACACTGTTCATACAACAATTGCCTGTGAGTTTGGCCATAATCTGCCAAATGATTGTGCTTCCATCTGCTGTCAGTGAAAAATATTCATTCTTCAATTAATTTATGTGATGGGGTTATCTGGCCACTTTGGAACCATTTGATTTACATTATGTCAAACAGTGTTTGTCTTATTTCCCTCCCGAGGACAATTTCAATCCATTTTTGCCAGAATAATTAGAACATCCTTCAACCATTTCAACTGTTAATTGTCCCTATGTGGATTTTTCTTAAATCTACACTGAGAGTGTGAACAGGAAACCTTTCCAAGTTACTGTATGTCTATGATGTGCTCATCTCCAAATTCCAACTGCTACTTTGATATTAAAACCAGTTTACACTAGCTCACCAGGAATTTGAATGAGATAGAGTGCATTTAAAAAGGTTCCTCTGGCTCCTTATAATTAATCTGATATCATCAGCAAGCGTCCACCGAGCCTGATTTAACGAGTCTGGGGGAGGAGAAGACTGCTATTTTGCAGTATCTTAGGTTGCTAGCCTGCATGTACTTGGCAGCAACCTCTACAGATCGGATTACGTAGGCAAAAATTAAGCACAACAGAAAGAAAAAGTTTTATCCCTTTACATTTACATTGGTTGCTTTCCTCTACTTTCAGCACTTTGTTACTGACAACCTGTCTCAAATACACGTTTTGTTAATATTTCTTTAGTTTTGTTATGTACATTAAAGAAATATTCTGAGTGAGCTACCAACTAATAACATATCTTGGCATGGACTAATTCTTTAAAATGATTGTTTTCAGTGTGTTTTTGCTCTTATATTGCACTGCTCTTTATCAGCTTCCACAGAGGTTGTCTTCTCTTTTGATGTGGGGAATGGACCTCTGGAAGTCAGGGTGGTGACGAATGTCCCTTTGAATGACAACCGGTGGCACAGTGTGCGAGCTGAGCGAAATGTGAAGGAGGCATTGCTGCGTGTGGATGATTTTCCTGCTGCTACCCACGAAGCCCCTGTGAACGGACACATTCATCTTCAGCTCAACAGTCAGCTATTTGTTGGTGAGGATCAAAGGTTTTTAAATATGGAAGACAGCTGAAAGTGTCATTAAGAGTACTGATGAAGTTCAGAAAGCAGTCATGTATACATGTTGTACATCTAGTCATGAGAAGCATTCATAGCTGTGGTGATCTTTTGTGTTTAGAAAGTGAGAGCAGTTTTAACTAGCACTGATGATACAGGATACCTTTGCAAATATGGTAATTTGCTGTGGATGTGACTGGTCTTTTCCATCAATCAATCATTCTTTTAAATATATTCTGTGATGTCATGTCTTAATTGGACAGATTCTGCAGTGTGCCATTTTCAAAGCTATACTTAAGTCTCAGTGGAAACATTGCAGCTAGTCTGACAGAAATAACTGCATTTAATTTTGAATCAGACTGTGGTTAAGCCTTTTGATGGTCTTCTCAAAGTCCACTCAAGCTTATTAAAAGCTGAGGTGGACTGTGATTGAAAGTAATTTGGCCATAATACTAGAAGAAAACTTAACAGAAGTTAATATGAGCTAAGTTTATTAACCTGACAGTTCACGATGAATATCTTCAAACTAAAGTTATTTGATTTGTTATTATTCATTGTGGAGGGCTTTGAAATCTCTCGATCACTGGAATCTATAATGACGGTAACTCTTATCCTCCCAGAATTCTCACTTTCTGAAACTCATTTACACACCAATTTATGTCCCAGTCATGTACCTTAGGAGATTTTGAGAGGTTGAAAATTCATTTTCTTTTAAGAGGCTTTATCTTTTTGCAAATATTATAAACACATGTTTATTAGTAAACCAATTTTGAAGGAAAATCAACAAATTATGGTGAGAATTGACTGGATGTGATAAGATGATAGTTCCCATTGAACAGCTGAAAAGAACTGGCTAAGATATTCTATGAGCAGGACTGTCCATCGGTTTATATTGTTTTTTTCTTGCATGGGAAATGAAGGGTAGGGACAAATTAATGTAGATGCCTTTGTGAAAGGATGCTAATGCATTTTATAAAGACATGATTTACTGTATAACATCAATAATGCCTAGATTCTCTGCTGTGTTCCTGCAGAGTCATTGTTCTCTATTAAACTATAAATCCAAATAATTTATATTGCAATATTGTTTAGTTTGTAGTACGTACGATGCGCAGTTTATACCTTAACTCAAAATGCATTATGGTGCACTGCCACTTTGCTGGTTTGGTTTCATTCATATGACACACATTTATGCTGTTTCAGTGCAGTTCATTACATAACATTTATATAAAGGAGACATCACCAGGAGAAATTAAAAAACATTTTTTAAATTCAAAACCATGTGTTACTTGGCTATAATAGAATTATTAATTGTCAGGTGGGAAGAGATAGAGATTCCTTCTCACTTGTCATAGTAAAGAGTGAATGTGAGACACCAGATGGCTCATGAGCCAAGCAGCTGGGCAATCAACAGCTCTTCCAGTGCTAAGCGATGTCTTTCATCATCCATGTCATGCAGAGTAGACATAACCATGTTCTGCTTCTGTGGCAACATGTGGCTGCCCCTCAACATTTACTGTAAAGGAAGAATGAATAACACTGTAGCCATATAGAACTTTAAGATAACTATTTTTAAAAGCTTGATTGTAGTTAGTCACATTCTAAATAATTACTAAAGATCTTTTCATGAAGAGAATAAAAAAAAAAAAAATCTTTTTTTTTTTTGCAGGAGGCACAGCATCCAGACAAAAGGGCTTTTTGGGCTGCATTCGTTCTCTGCAACTGAATGGTGTTACCCTGGACCTGGAAGAGAGGGCCAAGATCACCCCGGGAGTCCGACCTGGATGCCCGGGCCACTGCAGTAGTTATGGTTGGCTTTGCCAAAACCATGGACGCTGTGTGGAAAAGGCCCAAGGGATCTTCTGTGATTGCAGCCATTCTGCCTACACCGGAGCTTTCTGCCACAGAGGTACAGACACTGAGGACTTCCTGCTAATACATGCACATAACCATAACCATGCATAACCAAACTCATACATTGCCTTTTCAGTTAGGTACATTCTACAGACGCTTAAGAATCATGTTTTGTATTACTTGAATGACCTGCTAGTAAACTGCAGCAGTGTTACTGATGTGCCAAAAGTTGTAGAACCAAAAAAATGGGTACTTAATATAAGTAAAAGTTTTGTTTTTTTGTTTATCATTTAAACTACATCTATAGTCAGTGTCCAATCTTTTCTCTCTCGACTATTTTAGCTGTACGCTGAAGTGCAGGACCAAAATAGTATAATGTCTGACTTAACTCCATTCAATGATGTTATATAAATGGTGGACTTTTTGAAAAACTGCATATTTTTTATTTACATTTAATACTTTACATCACTTATATACATCATTATAGCGTAAATGTATATTTGTATACCTTTTTCTTGCCTTTCAATTTCCAACAGTTTGAACACCTAAATAAAAAATCAATAAACAAAAACCTTGCACAAAAAAAGAAAAAAAAGGATTTGCAACGGTAAATGTTGTACATCACATTTGTAGAGATGGATGAAACCGTCTGTGTTTGAAATGAGCATATCACAGAAAAAAGCACCAAACTGAGTGTTTGCAGTTTTGTGTCGCCAGTATCAGAGTTAGAGTACCGAAACCAATTTGTTACACTTGTTTCACCGGAACATGTGTTCTAACTGAAGATACAACTTCCGATTGGTAAAACCAAAAGAATGAGCATAATGTGCTTACATAGATACCAAAAAACAGACACTCTACTAGGAGTTCCAATTGTTTAAATAGATTTTGATGTAGATTTATCAAACATGCTCACGTTTGATTGGTTCTAACTAATATGTTTAAACAGTTAACTTGTGTGATAATATTTTATAATATTATTTTATTTATGTAAATAAAAATCCATGCAAAGGCATTTTGTTTTTCAAAGGAATTTTTTTTTTTTTTTTTATCTTTCAGAGGTTTCTGCCAGCTTCAAGTTGACCACATCCATCACCTACGTCCTGAGAGAACCATACGACCACAGTGCCCTGCCTTCTTCCATCTACTCAGATACCACGCTGAGAGGAGAAAACATCTCCCTGAACTTTATGACTGGTCACAGTCCTGCTCTGCTGCTATACATCAACTCTTTCTACCATGAATACCTGATCGTTCTTATCAACAGTCAAGGTGAGGACAGAAATCTCTTTAATCTCTTCCATTTATCTTGTATTGTATTTTTTTTATCTGTTTCCTCCCTGTGTATTTTGACATTGTAAAATGTGATATTATCAAGCAAATATCTGATAAATATATATTGTTATTTTATTATATATACATTTCAGATCAAGTTTTAACTAAAGCATTCTCAGAATCTTATGAACTAGATAACTTGATTTTCACAGTCTCACGCTTTTCACATGCTTGATTTGTTTAAAAATATATTTTTACTGTTCAGTACAGCAGCCTTGTTGTTTTGTGTTGATAAAGATGAGCTGGAACTGAGGTACAAGTTGCACAGCAACAGAGATGTCGAGCTGTTGAGAAGCAGAGTCACAAACTTGGCTGACGGGCGTCTACACACATTGACCATCCAGCGACAGGCAGCCTCTGTGTCAGTGCAGGTAAATATGTGCCCAAGTCACTCTCTGTGTGACGCCGTCCTTGTGTGTTGAAAGGACATCAAAACTGTCCTTAATTTTCAAACTACCTATAGAAATTCTATCAGGTCCAAGGTGTCCATTACATTGTAAAATAACAATTACTCACACATTTTTTTAAACCTGGTGATAGATTATTTTGCAGCAAATTAATAGAGGATTATATAAAGGATTATATTTAAGAAAATCTTGAACATGCTTAAAGTCTAAAGGGGTACCAGTGGACATCCACCTAACGGGGCCCTAACAGACTAATTTGAACATGTAGCCATTTTCTTTGCCTACTAGAAGTCCATGTTTTAAACACTCAACATTAGCAACTCTGTCCTTGTCCATTTGTCATTGTTAGTAGTCTTTCTCTGACATGAGTCATCTCTTAGATTGACCAGAGTGCCATAGAGGACTTCAAGTTGACATCTGATGTGGAATTCAACAGCATCAAATCACTCACTCTGGGCAGAGTGACGGGTAAGTGAGGCTCTCTTTAAGATTCTCTTAAGATTCCAGCATTTACAGACGAACACATTTTAATGAGATATTTGGCTTTGTTTTGTTCATCATTGAAGTAGGCCTTTGATTGGACTCTTGTGGAAAGAGATTTTAGCCCTCCACTCCAAATTAGTCTCAGCAAAAACTGGTGACCTTCCTTTCCTTAAGTCCATTCATTTTTACACAAACGCTCTTGTCTGTTTGTGCCTGATTTGGATGCAGGTACTGAAGTTACAAAGCCATCAAACTTGCTGCATGTTGATAGCTACAGTTTACTTTGATATCTGGATTTTTTTTTTGTTTCTCTAATATCTCTAGTTCAGGACGAATATGATTTTTTTTGTATTTAATTGATGCATCAAGCAACTAATGCACTTTACATGCCATCCTTTGATGTTTCAAATAATATGTGATATATAACCTGACATAAATATTTAGATGGCCATGACCATTTTGTCCTGGAAACAATGTTCGGACCTACAAAGGAAGTAGCCAATGCAGCTATATGGCATTAGATAGATTAAAATCAAACATTCCAATTCCAAGTGGATACATATTATTGTGAATTGCATCATGTGTTTAAAAACTTACATAAAAGTTCAGAAAATAAAAATGTGTGTTCCCTCACTTTTATCTCTGACTCCGGAGCAGTGAGTAATTCATTCAGATTTCATACTTGTCTGGGTTTGACTGGAGCCTCAGACAGCTGTAATTGTAATAACTTCAAAAAGGTCCTTCACTCTGTATGCTAATGAAAAGATATTGAAAAGAACAAATTACTTATAAGATTGGAGTCAGCACTTGCACAGTTCAACATAACTCATAAGATTCACCTGCTGGGTCAAAATAAACCTGAAAGTCAAACGAGACATTTTAGTGCTATCTGCACGACAGAACAATTTCACTTTCAGCATAATTTCTACAACCATCTTCAGAATGGATCTTACTGTGCAGACTTGTTGAAAAGATAGAAGACTTTTTAACACCTGTACTGTCTCACCTCTTCTACTTTTTCTTTATCCTCTATGTCTTCTTGGTTTGATATTGAGTAAAAGAAAAGAAAGCTACCATCAATGTAAAAAGGTTGTAACCTTTTTCATTTTCACTCATTTTCATATTCCTTATCCCCCTGTTGTACCTTCCTGTCATGTCTCTGTGGTTTCTTGTTTGCTCAAACAATTTAAAAATCAATGGAATCAACACTGAATAAATTCAACCAGCATAGACTTTGGTGTGCTGCATTTACAAGTTTTTGAACCATTAGACTTTTAACACAAATTCTACAATGAAAAAAAACAAGACATTATATTTGTCTTCAGCTTGTTGACATTTAAATTTTTTAAAGTGCTGCTGCTGCTGCTTCTTTTTTTGGGATGAAATCCTTCTAGGTTTTCTATTGCTGACCCTGGCCATGTTAGCATGTGACCCGGCTGCAAGCCCTGCTGAGCCACAAGACTCAGATAGTCGTATCAGCCTCAGAGAGGCAAAGAGTGGTTGATGTACTGTCACTCCCACTATGCCTACTCATCTGTCATTCCAACTAATGGACCGGGAAAGAATGGGCAGATGTATTCAGGTCATGGATTCAAGGCCAATGCTGCCACCATTTGTCTCGGAATTTCTGAACTCAAATCTTTCATTTAATCTTTTTTTTTTCTGAATATAAACTTCCTATTCAAAATTGTATTATATCATATCCTTTGCTTTTTCACTCCTGCATTTTTGTCAGGGTATTCATGGAAAACCTTTAATAAGAAAAAAAGGCTATTGCATTGAATGCTTCACACAAAGTAGCCGGTTAAGCTTTAATGTATCACAATATTGCTGTGTTGTAAAATAAACTAAATGTGCACAAAGCACAACCAGAAAATCTGTCACTATTAATTTAGTTTAATTTTCCCACTTGGAATATGTCATGAGAAGTATAAATCAAGGGCAAATTATTTCCTGCTGCTCAGTCTGCCACCTTCAATTTAAGCTCACAGCATGATCAAGTATGCATCCAGTGTCCCATCCAGCCATCCTACACTGCATATTAACAGGTTAAAAGATGTCTCCCTCCCTCCCCATGCCCTTACAGCTACTGCAAATTATTACATAATATTTCTCTTTAAGTTTCTTTAAACTTACAGAAATAAAAAAATAAACAGGAAAAACGTCATAGATCAATAACAAAAAAAAACTCAGTGTTACACTTGAGTGTTTTATAATGATCAAATCACTGACAATGTTTTTGTCATTTTCACTTTTTTCAACAATTATGCACAAAATAAGATAATAATTATTTCACTAATCAGTTATGTGATTAGTTGCTGTGCATACTTTCAATAAGTTTGTCATATTAAGTACTACGCGTCTGGTAGCTGTGTTTATTTTGTTTTTATTGTTTGTCTTTTTGTAGGGCAACAGCTGAAAAAGGATGTGGTAAATATGTGAAAAGGTTTCAGGACTTTTCCAGTAGCTTACTGGGAGTGAGGAGAATGACACTCCAATGATTTTTTCTGCCATCGTATGAATACTCCACAGGGATTTTTCTATCTCCCTTAGTTCAGCTCAAGTGTCATGCTGAGATGCAACATGTCAGCCTTCTCAACTCCATCTCTATAAAACAGCATCAGGATGCTGGTAGGGAGTGAGGCCAGTTGTATCCCTCAGAAATCGTTGACTCTGTTAGGGCTGCTTCTCTACACTAGAGGTGTTCTTTGACATGGTGAGGTTGTCTGAAATCTGCTCTCTGGGGAGTTTAATGTTCTTCACGCTTTCCTTGACACAGTTTCTAATACTGTTACCCAAGACGTGAGCTCCGAAAATTGACGATAATCTTCTTGATTTTGTATACTTTGTGCACCAGATTGTCTCGACATCAGCTCTCATCTCAGAAGCTGTCTGATTCCCTCCCTACACATTATTACACACATCCCCTACACATCCCCACACTAATTACCATGAATGAGCCACGCGACTATATTGTCATCTGCAAACTTAACAATTGAATTACTCTTGTGTACTCTGGCCACAAAGTCTTTAACCACAATTATAAACAGCAATGGACAGTGCACTTGGCCTAGAGGGGATCAATGACTCAACTTGATTGAGTTTTAGATCGTTCTTTTTCTAACAAAGACTTTTCAGAGTATCAAATGGGATCAATCAAGAAAAAAGTGGAGCAGATTTAATGATGCAGGCCTGCTGTCTGTGTGTAGTTTAACAAACTGTTCACGACATTTCGTCATGATGGGGGTCAGTGTGACAAAACGAGGCAGACAACATGACATAATTGGGGAAGGTTTGAAAACATCTGGGGACAATAGGAGATGGTGAGGATGCCTGTTTAAACACCTGCCAGGTCACAGCATAGTACACATCCAAAGGATATGCAGTGAATGCCTGCCATGTTTTCAGGACCTGCTGTTTTCTTTGAGTTGGTCCCAGTTAGTCACAGCCACAGAGGTCTCCTGCTTTTTCACATGAGAGTTGGCTCTACCTGAGAGATCAAGCCAAGCAGAGAAAAGCTCTTTTTTTTTAATTCTGATGGCATCATCATGTTCCTTCATTAGCAAACATACCCCTGGCTCAATCTCCATTTTTTGCATTGCTTCCTCAGTATTAAAAAGGTAGAAGTCAAAGACTGTCAGGAAAGACTGATCAAGTTACACATAAAGTGCTATGAAATTTCAATAGTTGATTCAAGTCCAGAAGGAGACATGAAAACATCAAGATCATGATAGGGGTCATGAGTAAAAAAAAAAAAAAGTTTCTTGCATCAAATCTACCAGGTCAGTAGTCATGTTTGGACTCACAAGTGAAAGACAGTTCCCTTTGCTTGCTACTACCCGCAAGGCACCCCATGCTAATGGATGTGTGGCAGCCTCCTGTTTCACCACGTCTAAAAAAAACTACCCAGAGAAAAGTCTGATTGGCGGTCTTAGACGTTGCCAACAAAAGAATGTAATCCACCCTTCCGTTTCAACCTGAGCTGAGGCTTGAAAACTGATTAAAGGTACCAACCCCACATTAATCTCCTGTCTATCAAACCATTGTTTATCTCTCCCCTACTGTTTCACAGACATGCATTTCCACTGTGAATATTGGGTATTCCATAAACACTACAGCTCTGGTTTTACTTTCTACACACTCCTGTTGAGCATGCAGGCAGAGTATCTATCAAGCAAACAAGTCGAGTGTATATATTCCCCCTTTTTTACCTGTGTGTACTTAATATACTTCAGAATTATTACTGTTATTATTTCATATGTACTCTTGGAACAAAGGCATCAGACCCCTTTATAGGTAGTTGGTTTTTTTACTTGCCCATACCAAAGGGAAAGGCAGTGAAATACCTAATTTGGATACTGTTAATTTGTCAGAATCAAAGTTTCCCAAGGAAACTGAGTTTCTCTTTTAAACCATAATTGGGGGATACATTCCACTACTGGACTGCATCCTACCAAGGGAAGACAAACAAAGTGGAAAGGATGAAGGGTGCTACATACAGTAATACAACAACTGGACTTGTGTCAACAGGTAATGTTCAAATGACGAATAGTCAAAGGATCCCTGCCAGAAACCAGATCAATTCCAAAAAAAAAAAGTGACCCAGATACCTTCACTGATCTTTGGAACGTCAGTCAATACATAACATCTTCTTTAGATCATTGTTCTCAAGATCAATAAAAATAGTTCATACAATACGTTACATTTGCAACTGCACTGCCCTGATAAAAAGCATGCCTTTTCTCATTGTCTGCCATTCTTGCTGTGTTTAGATACTGATGGATTGGATCCAGAGCTGACTGGGCTGTCCACTCATGGGTTCACGGGCTGCCTGTCAGGTGTTCAATTTAACTCCATCTGTCCACTGAAAGCTGCTCTGCTTCATCCTGACAGCCGTGTTATTGTCACTGGCCTTGTGGGACAATCAGGCTGTGCTTCCTCTGCTCCAGCTAATCCTTACTCTGCAGAGACTACACACACCTTATCAGGTACCGTACAACAAGAACTCTAATTACATCTTATCTTACTTTATATCTACTTTGGTAAAGATTACACCTATTTCTTGTTGGACATTCTTTGTGGGGTGCTTTCAGCTCAATTGTGTGCCTGTTTTTTTATGGGCATATAAAGTGAACTCCACTGTAGGCTCGCTAATGTCACAGCAACAGATTAGATTAGTCAGACAACTGTTTAGAAGCCCTAAAGGTTGTGTAGAGGATTTTAACAACTGGCTGCTCTATCTAAAGGTTGTTACACTAACTTCGCCTTCCACCCCACAACCTGGTTTATCTTCACCATGTTCTCTGTTTTCCATGAATTTTTCATTTTCTTTTCTCCCCTCCCTCATGTCTTCTGTAGACCAATCTGGCTCAGTGGATCCAGGTCAGCCTTTAGCCAATGCCATCAGGAATGACTCGGCTGTAATTGGAGGTAAAACCAAAGGATCCAAGACAGCAAAAATATGATTACTTGAATTGTGACTCGTCATTATGTACAAAACTTTTACATGATCTTCCAGTTTTATGAGACTTAAATCATTTAACATATTGTTTTTCAGCTATTGCCCAAAACAACCATTCGGATAAGATTACATTTTTTTCAAAAACCTTTCTGTATTTTGTGTCCTCCTAGGTGTGATCGCTGCAGGGATTTTTGTCACGGTGTCTGTGTTGGCTCTTATGGCAAGATTCATCTGTAGCAGGACAGGCACGTATCGGAATCCGGAAGTAAAAGCAAAACAGCCTGAGGACGGCCATGGGTTCCCTTTCAGCAGTCAGGCAGACTCTGAGTGCACAAACTGAAAGCCAAAAGAAGTTTTCCATTTAGCAATGGCATCTGAGTGGACAGAATGACATGACTTGCCGATCAGTGGATTACAGGACACCACAGATTATTTAAAACATTCTGCTCTGAATGATTTTCTTTCGTCGTTTTTCCCTTGAAAAAATTTGAATTTTGCAGATGTGTTGGAATCAAGAGCCTTAAAAGGATGCTGGTGATGCCGTCACCATGAAAATGTAAATATTTCAAAACATGTAAAAAAAAATTGGTCATTTGTGGACTTCCAATGTTGTGTTTTTCCTGCCATCCCAAAATGTTACAAGTCATTTATTAGAGGGAAAAATGTAGTATAGAAGTGATAATTCAGTCAACCTTGTTGTAGTCAATAATTTGAGCCCGATTCTTAAGACTCAATTTTCAATGGGACTGATGAGCCTTTGAAATCGTGAGATCTCAACAGGATTATGGACTAAGCTGAGGTTCACATTAAACAGCCCAGCGGGACAGTTGCAAATTCAGATCAAATCTATATGTTATTATGAAAAATAATACTCTGTATATATGAATGGTGAATAAAAGTCTGTCTCAAACTTCATGTCAATACTTTGCCACGTAGTCAGCAAGCATTTATGTTCCCAATTGTGCTTTTTCACTACAAAAAGACAAAAAAAGTTTAAAAGGGGAAAACAAATATTTCAAATGACATTTGGATTATCTTGCTCTCCTTTGTTTTTGTATTGGATGTGTAACAGCTTAGTACTGGAATACAAATCCGGGTAAAAGGAGCTTATTGTGCACCTTCAAAAGCAGTTCAAACCTACCTGGAAAAGAACGGAATATCACTGTATTTACATCGGTAATTAATATTTATGCACTGCTCTACATAAATGCCTAAAAATTACCATTATACTGATGTGTATACATGCTGTTCTGTTCTTTATAAAATAAAGCAAACACGAGAAATGAATGGGATGGGGCGGACATTGAAATATTTACTCTTATGATACAGTAGTCACTGAGTATGTACTTGGGGTTTGGGGATATCAAATTCTATCAGTAATTCTACTATCATAATCCATCTTAAAAAAGGATCAAAACATGGTTGTGTTTTTAATGTGTGACTTGTGTGTGACTGTATTGAGTTACTTGACCTAAGGTGTGCATTAAGATGTGACTGCTGAATTTCGAACAGAATAAAAATCTGGAATTTTATTAAATGAATGAGCTGTGACTATAAGCCAGATGTTTTGTGTTCCTCATTTAACAGTAAAACGAAATGACAAATTTACAGATAAAAAAAATACTAAATCCTTTACTTTTTCTCCTGTGTTTTAAATTTGAGGAGAAATAAGATACCAATACTTCTCTAATAGCAGCATCTTTCCACCTACTTGCTCTGTAAATGCGCTGTAAATTAATGATTCACTCGGAAAGTCTCTTGACAGCTCTCACCATATGTGTGACCGCCTGTGATTTGATGGTTAAAATTTCCCTTGCAGTGAGGACTGAATGAAATTCAAATGCAATTTTTTGTTTTCACTTACCAGAAGCAACATGTCAATAGGCCACCTGTTGAAATTGGATCAGACTCAATGCCACTGTCCCTGCTGGTACACTCTTATTGTTAATTCTTCTATGTCTCCTGTAGGTGCAGCTCTCCCTCTGGACCTCATCAGATTATGGTGAATTCTTAAATGAAGGGCCTGCAGGTCTTTTATTCAACCACTGGGAGTAATTTAATCACCCTTCTGCCAATTTGCTGAGAGTATTTGTGACTCAGTGTAAATGATAATTATTCCAAATCACTGGAGATGAAGAAACTTGGACCGTGAACTGTAAAAAAAAAAAAAAAAAAAGAAAAAAAAAAGTTTTTAACTTAAATAGATGGAAATGTTAATAAATAAGTGATCACTGACCTTTGAAGTAACATTTTAGTTTTCCTCAAATGTATTTACTTAAAATCTGTAGTTTGAATTTTAAAAACGAAGATGTATTATGTTATGTCCCCCAAAAAGCATCTCCACAAATTAAAACTTTAAACAATTTCTCAAGTGTTTCAGGGGATCTCTCTGCATTCAGGGCTTTAAGAAAAAAAGTCTTTGCCATTGTTTTAGCAGGAAAAATATATATATTCTGTTCCTTTTTTTTTTTTGCTTTATTTTCTTATACAATCGATTCAAACCCCTCTCAACAACTGATTTAATTCTCCTTGATAACCTTAACCATATAATCAATATTGCATGTTTGCATAATTTAAAGAATTACATAAATACTGGAGGATTTCTGTTAATCTTTCATGTAAATGTGGGCAAAAGCAGTAATCCACTGACTGGAATGACAATTGAATTAAACACGCTTTTCTGGAAAAAAAAGGTGCTCTCCCCTATATAAAGAGGGCTCATTAATGCTCGTCCATGCAGATGAAACGCAGCAGTTGGTAAAAGACGAGGCGGATGATGTTTCCTGTTCCACTGTGGATGTGGGCTGGATGATCACTAGCAGCCTCCTTCTTGATTAGTGGTTTGATGAGAATGCAGCACTACAGGCAGAACAAACAGTACCAGACCTCTGATTACAAATCACACCGTGAATCCCTGTTGTCAGTTTCTATGTGTTATAATTGTTTTTGAGACTCACTTTGAAAGAGGAATGCATCCATTGTGGTTGCTGTATATGTACAGGTTGCTGGAAATGCTTAATCCTTAATCCATAGTCTTTTGACATATTAATATGAATAAATTTATTTGGAAATGGGAAAATAAATTGCAATAGAAATATAAAATAAGGTGGGGGAAAATGTCTGTATTTATGAATTTATTTTAAAATCTAAAATCTAACAAGAATTTATAGTTTAGCCATTAGTGAAAACAAAATGTTGACAAACCAAGATAGGTGGGGAGGGAAAGCATTTTTTATTAACACATAGAATTCTGATTTGTGTTCTTTGCCCACCAATCTTCCTCTTGATGCTTATACTTTGTGAACTGGCAAGAGGAAAGTGTACATTACCTCCTTCTCATTTTTCCAGCACGTTATGAGAATAACATCTATTTTGAGTCAATAAATCCTGTAATCTCTTTCAAAGATGATATGTCCAGCAGTATTGTGCAGAAACTCCACAAAACTGAGCTGGAAAATAAAGTCTCTCAATATCTCATATCTTATTGATATTCGTCAGGCAAACAGTTTTGGTTCATCCCTCTGAATGCTCACCAAATCAGCTCATCTCTCAGGATGACAGCAGTGGCTCACTCTCACCTCCCCAACACGAGGTGGGATGCTGCAACACGGCCTATAAAACCAACCATGGACGGCTACCAGTCACAGGATTTACTGGCCGACCGTACATTATATCACACCTGCAGAGTGCATTTTAAAAACACCTTAATGTGCACTGCCACTGGACAGGATAACAATGCGTCATTACCAAAAAACATGCAGTCAATATGCAGTGTTTATTCCACCATATGAGAAAAGCAGCACCTCAGGAAAAAGGTTAGATCTATTTTACATATTTTACAATGTGAATGTTAAAAAACTAATCCCACAGTTTAGTTCTCTTACATTCACTGCCTGAAGGTTGCAGCACAAAAAACGTCCCGAGCACAAAATATACAGAAAAAATAAATAACATTAGAGCAAGCACAGAGGAGAACCTGCTCAGAAATGTTGCCATTTGAAAAGATTTAGAGGGATTACTTGATGCTTTAAACTATACTTATATTTACCTTTCAACTACAGAAGATATACTCCGAATAATCATATACTGAATTTGAAATGTTTAATTTCGGTTATATAATCATTTAGAATGAAGCACAGTCATCACAGATTGTCAGAACAGCGTCACAAAAGTTTGGATACATGTTGCTACATGCAAGGTTTTTTTTGTTTGATTTTGAAAGGCCATTCAACCACATGTGCAAATAATGTCCTTAATCTATGACTTGATTCCTACGGGGAAGTCGTCCTGTCATATGTGTTGTCACCTAATTTCATTAGAGTCTGTCTGATGAGAAATTAATCTATCGTTGATAGTTTTCAGTGTCACATTTTTCTCTTGTCTGCATGGTAAATTTTGATATGGATGAAGGTTAAAGAAAGTGCTTGGTTCTTGACACAACAACGTTCACACCATGTCAAGTAATAATTAGAAACATTTGTTGTTACCCAGCCAACATTCATCTCCTCAGTGATCCGATAAGCGCACAGACATACATCATTGGGATTTGCTGCTCTGCTGATTACATCTTCAGCAGCATTATGCAGAAGAAGCTCCATAAATAAAAGTGATCTGGCGGACACACAGTCACTAAACACCTCATGTTTTATTAATGTACTGCAAGCAAACGGATGAGGTTCATCCCTCAGACCTCCTTACCTCCTCAGCTCATCTCTCAGGATGGCAGGAGGACCTCTGTCTCACCTTTTAAACCTCCACGTGTTTTGACTGATCATAAAAGCTGGAGCTGCTGTACTTAACGATTTGATAAAAGTACAAAAATGTCCTTTTAAACCTGTGGATGGCCATTTGTTTTAAACCTGTTCACAAAACTTGAATACATCAAAACTTGGTTGATGGAAAAAACAAATCATGTGGTAATCTTCACTTTCCTCTTAGCTGCAGGAAAACTGTGGAAACTGATGTGATGACGCTACACAACCTGCCCTACATGTGCCTCACATTCCAATGTTGCTTTGCATTTACATAAAGGAACTATTTATTTTTCATTTGGCAGTTTGAGCCCATATATCCCTGTGTCTTGGGGCCAGATGCATAAATAATGTGTATACGCAGAAATCACATATGCACACCTTTTCCCACACACACAAGCAGGCATTTAGGAAAAAATATGCATGCTCATCTCACACTGTTTTTACACCATAAATATGCATGTTTTCTGTTCAGTGCACGTTTTATAGCAACCCCAATTAAAGAGTAGCTTTTTACATCTAGGTAAAACTCAAAGTTTTTCTGGCTTTCCATTTTAGTTGGCAGGACTCTGAATGGCTTTAGTGTAAT